CACACTTGTCTTTGTACTCCTCACCTGGTTGCCGCCACACATGCTTGACACCATCTGAACCAAATAACTTTATTTTGGTCCCATCGGACCACAGGACATTGGTCCAGAAATCCATGTCCTTAGTCTGCTTGTCTGCAGCAAACCGTATTTGGGCTTTCTTGTGCATCATCTTTAGAAGAGGCTTCCTTCTGGGTCAACAGCCCTGGAGACCAATTTGATGAAGTGTGCGGTGTATGGTCTGAGCACTGACAGGCTGACCCTTCACCCCTTTAACCTCTGCAGCAATGCTGGCAGCACTCATATGTCTATTTCCCAAAGCCAACCTCTGGATATGATGCTGAGCATGGGCACTCAACTTCTTGGGTCAACCATGGTGTAGCCTGTTCTGAGTGGAACCTGTTTTGTTAAACTGCTGTATGGTCTTGGCCACGTTGCTGCACTTCAGTTTCAGGGGTTTGGCAATCTTCTTACAGCCTAGGCCATCTTTATGTAGAGCAACAATTAGTTTTTTCACATCCTCAGATAGTTCATTCCCACGAGGTGGCCGGTGTGGAACTTCCAGTGACCAGTCTGGGAGAGAGAGAGTGATAACACTTGCTATCCCTTCACACCTGAGACTTGTGACGCGAACGGTTCGCATGATATCAGGCAGGGGAAATGGCTACTTGGGCCTAATTTGGACATTTTATGTAGAGCAACAATTAGTTTTTTCACATCCTCAGATAGTTCATTCCCACGAGGTGGCCGGTGTGGAACTTCCAGTGACCAGTCTGGGAGAGAGAGAGTGATAACACTTGCTATCCCTTCACACCTGAGACTTGTGACGCGAACGGTTCGCATGATATCAGGCAGGGGAAATGGCTACTTGGGCCTAATTTGGACATTGTCACTTAGGGATGTACTCGTTTTTGTTGCCAGCATTTTAGACAATAATGGCTGTGTGGGGACAACACATTTACACTGTTATACAAGCTGTGTACTCACTGCTTTACATTGTAGCCAAGTGTCATTTCTTCAGTGTTGTCACATGAAAAGATATATGTACTAAAATATTTATGAAATGTGAGAAGGTGTACTCATTTCTGTGATATACTGTAAAATACATGTCAGCAAGCTATTTCAGAGGGTTGAGGTGAAAAGTGATTCTGCAGTTTCTCTTTAACCACAGTGTGTTTCCTGCAATGGCACTGGTGCAGTAAGTGCCCTGGCAATTTCAAAAATTTGCCCCCCCCCACACACACACACTAAATAGTGTAGCCTTCTTCAAAACCATGTCTGTAATTCCTTGAGCAGTCAAATAAAATTCAAAATGTGTTGTGTAACAGTGCCAGTCTTCGGCTGCTTAACGAAACGACTCAAACTGACCCCTACCAGCAATTCTCACCATCACATTGCTTCTTGGGTGGGGCACTCACTTCAGTAATTCAGGCTACCTCCCCTGTCACATCCCATCTTCATTGCCAGTGTTAAATAGTAGATTCATAACTCAAAGTCATAAATCAGCAAGCCTTTATTCAGCATTTCTCAGCAACAAGATAAGGCAAAAGACACCAAGTAGAACACACATGCACATTTATACAACACTCACTCAAGGAACCACCCTGCTCCCACTAATGACCTACGACTGGCCAACAATCCAACAGCAGAGTCAACAACTGCTCCCACTGCTACACTACATAACAGCTGCCTAAAATAAATCCATGACACCTGTTGTGGTCCTAGAGTTGCTTCTGTGTCAAAAGAACGTGAGATTTGGATCACTGAGGGCCTGGTCACATGAGGTAAATGTAGTCCAATTATCCTCCAGTTTGTTGCTTTTTTTTTCCTGGTCACATAACACACAGTCAAGATCAAGACATTTTTCCAGCCAGCAATGTAACTGTGGAACAATTCCCCATTGCCAAGAGGGTTGTGTTATTTTGTACCTTTGTCGTACAGATTCCTTACCAGGATTGCCTGTGTGCACAACCTGCCCTGCTTCTTTTCAGGATCAAAGCCAGGTAGGTGGCTGTCATTACTGAGGCACGTATATTAATTTTTAAAAATGTTCATGCCTGATACATTGATATCTTTGTACAAGTACATCACTGGGGGGCCACCACCATTACATTATTGGTGAGAAATAATATTTTTTTTATTTCTATGTGAAGATATTTTGAACCATCAGTATCCCAATATCATGGGGGTGTTGACTGATCACCAGCACTGCTGTGTGGACATCCCATGCTGTGGATACCCCATGTCCATTGTGTGCAGTGCATTTCTTCAGGAGCAGCCAGTGCAACAGAGGGACACTTTCCTAAACAGAACCCCTTCCCGATCAATGTTCCCTCCAATTTTCAGTCCCTGTGGACAGGGCTCCACCCCCCCCGTGCGCATGTTTGCCCTGCTGTACAGGTGAGGTCCCCCCCCCCCAGACTCCACTGTAACTGGAATAAAAGGGCTGGAAACTATCACTGTGAGTGCACAGGGAAGAAGGAAAGCTATGCAGAGAGGGTGGAGTAACACATGCTCATGCAGTCACATACCTTAGAGCAGTGGTGTCGAACTGTGGCCCTCCAAATGTTCTTGGCCTTCAACTCCCAGAAATCCTGGCCAGCAGAGGTGGTGGTGAAGGCTTCTGGGAGTTGTGGTCCAAGAACATCTGGAGGGCCACAGTTCGACACCACTGCCTTAGAGGGAACCTTGTTCCTGATATATTTATGTATCAATGAATATTATTGAAACAAGAGAGAAAGAAGCCAGTACTGTGTTGTAGCCAGCCATAACACTTCAAACAGGAGGAAATAAATTGGTACCATTAAAAGTTCTTCAGACATTCATCCCAGGATATTAACCATGTGACCATGATTCAGTACAACGGAGGTATGGAAAGTACTGGAAGAACTAGAAAACATTTCCCTCATATGACCAATGCCTGAGCCAGCAAGTGAGCAATCTGTCCGTATCACTACCACCGTTTTAGACACGTTTGCTTCCTTGAAGCACATCTCAGCCATTTGTCTCGGAAGACCCAAAACAAAGAGCTCAGCAGATTTGTGTGTGAAAGAGGGAAGGAGGGTGAGAGGGAGGGAAGCATAAACTGAGCAGAGTGACTGCTTGAAAGAAGGTATACAAATTGCACAAAATCCAAACCCTAGTATCAATCACAATCATTATTTTGATTATTAAAATGGATAAGACGATGATGACTATGACAATGATGGTGACAATGACCATGATGAAAGAGAAAGTCTAATCTTCCTCCCGCACCTGCTACAAATACTGTTTGCCTACAGATGCAGAATCATTATATTGGTCAATGGCATGGAATGTGGAGGGATTTTGAAAGATCAGCTTGTACTGTGCTTCACTCAATTTAACATACCCTGTGGTCTCCTGAGTAACCTACCTTGCTGCCCTTGAAGCTGGCCAATTGTTCAGAAAGTTAGCAAAGCTAGACCAAGTAAATGCAAGGCATAATTTAAATCTTGTTGCAAAATGATGACCTTGTAGGCCCCTTCCAACTTCACTTTTCTATGATTCTATGATCTGGAAGGGCCAATAAACAATTAAAAGGAACACAAGTGCTGGCAATGAGCTGTACCTTTAGCTAGATAGCAAGCCAAGAAGGGGCTGCTAAAGTTCTCCTGGAACTTGGAGAACAAATGGTTCCAAGTTGCTGGGGAGTTGTCTGGCAACTTGTGGCTTCCTATTGTGGCCTCTTGCACGGGAAATCATTGTCATGTGCTCCCACCTGGATCTGGCAAATGCAAAAGTTACATGGCTGCTAGCTATCAAACATGATAATTGTTGGTGTTTAGACTGCCTCTGGTTGGTAGGTACTGAGCGCAAGTGAAGAGGGTGGTTATTGCCATGCTTGAGAGCTTGCTTGCCCACCACAACAGATAGGATCCTCAACTAGATGGATCTTTGGTTCAATCCAGAAAGGTAAACACTTTACAAGAATCAGTAAGAATTGGTTATTTACTTACAAAGATCCCCAAAACTTCAGTCTCTGCTGCAAAAACCCCTTTTCATCTCCTCTTCCAAACATATTTTTAAAAGCAATTGTCTTCTTTCCATCGGTTGAAATGCTTGCAAACTGTGCATTCCTTGTTTCATGACAGCTTCCAGTTTCTATCAATTTTATCCTTAAAAATGAATAGTCCTGGTACTAAAAGGTTACAACCTGTTACTCCCATATTTGTTTTTGTAGACTGGTCGGATTGAACCAAACTACCCTAAAGTTTGTGGCCATCAGGGGAATGTGCTTGATATCAAATGGAATCCCTTCATTGAGAACATCATCGCATCTTGTTCAGAAGACACCTCAGTAAGTAGATGACATTACTGTGTATAGTTGCATTATAAGTAGTAATAGTAGTAGTAGTAGTGACCACCACCACAACAGTAAGTGCTTTGTGGTTCTACCTGACTTGTAACCTTTTGACTAGATAGCTAAATTATTGCACTAAAGCAGAGGTCATCAACCCCCGATCCGCGGCCCGGTGCCGGTCCATGGGCCGGCCGGAAATAGGCTGCAGACACAGATCTCTGCCCCCCCGCCCACCCACACAGGGGGCGTGTCACACTTGCAGAGGGGCATGTCGAGATCTGGTGGAGGCAGCACCCGTCACGAGCCTGGACTCCTCGCCTTCCCTGCAACCGGCGGCAGCTCAGCCTCTGTGCATACCAACTGGTGGGGTGGCCTGAGTGTGCCTGGCGGCAACCGCTCTTCCCTGCCACACTGCCTGGCCCCCCCAGCCGCAAGGAGCTGAGCTGCTTCCGGTTGCAGGCAAGGTGAGGAGTCCAGGCTCATGACTGCCCCTGAGGGTCTGTCCAGGCCCTGGGGAAGAGAGGCAGTTGGAGCAGAAGCCACTTCTTCCCGCTGGGGTGCTGCTGCCAGCTCTTAACTCAGGGAGCTGCTCCAGCCGGCTTGTCAGTCCGCCTTCCGGGGTCCCGGTCTCCTGCCTCCGCTGCTCCTCTTGGTGCTGCTGCTGTGTGCTGATTTGGCAAGGTGAAGCGAGGGGCTGGGCCCAGGAGGCGCCTCTGGCCCCCGAAGGAGGAGGGCGGGGCCCCCTCTGTCTTGGGACTTGGCTCAGCTTCGAAGGAGGTGCACCCATCCAAGTCCTCCTGTGATTTCACTGTGCTGTGCTAGCAGCAGCCGCGAGGAGGGGAGTGGGCTTGACTGATGTGGTCAGAGGGCAGGCGGGGACTCTTGGCGCACGTGAGGAGGCAGTGGGGGGAGCCTCCTGCAAAGAGACGGTGGCAGCTGCATGCTCCGTTGCCCGCCTCTTTTCAAGCGGGCTCACCCACGGGGCAATGGGAGGAAGGCTACCTGGAGCAAAGCCCCTCCAATGGGGGCATCTGAGGAAGGGATTGGCAGACCCCCTGCCAGGTGGAAGACATTGGTTCCTGCCCACACACCCCCTTAGGACAAGCGGGAAACATGACCCCAAGTGAACCATCGCTCCTGTCTGCCTCCACGCCTGTGTTTGAGGCTCCGCCTTTCTCCCCTGAGCTGGCTGGGTGGCTCTGGCTTTGCCTTCGTGGCGGTGCCTTCCAGGAGAAGGGCCCTGCCTGAGCAGCCAGGGCAAGCGGCAGAAGGAGGAAGGGTCCCAGCAGCCCCCCCCCAAAGATGGAAGGGCTGGTAAACCTCCTAAAATTACTTCTTGGGCAGGGGGTCCCCAGAAGTCTGAATCCACTTTAGGGCCCATCAGAAGTATCTGTGGGATCCGCCTGTGTTTGCACTGGTGTAATCTTGAACCCCGCAGGCCTTTTCCTGGCTCTTTTTAGCGCAAAAGGTCCCTTTTCCCACCTCTGTGCAAGGCGCCTGGGAAAACACGGAGCGCCTCTTTTCCTCCCAACTTCTCCGCAAGCCCCGCCTCACCAAGACCCCTCGCCCTCATCAATGGTCTGGGCAAGGAAAGAACCTTTCTGGCCCCTTCTTCCCATCAGTTTCATTTCCTTCCCAAACATCTGTGCCAATTCCTTCAGCCATCCTTTTAATAATTGCAGAGGGTGGGGCAAGAAGTGGGGGGTGGGGATGGGGAGCTGTGCCAGCTGGGATTGAACCGTCACTGCCTCAACCCCTGCGTTTAATGCTCTGCCTTTCTCCCCTGACCTGGCTGGGTGTCTCCGGCTTTACCAAGAACACCCCCTCCCCCTCCTCCTCTTTCTTCCTGGGCTGCCCTGTCGGAGTCCTTGAGCAACCACGGGGCAGCACCGAGTGGGCGGAGGGACTGGGATCGCGAGGAGGGGAGGAGACGGAGGCAGCCAAAGGCAGCGGCGGCAGGTGGTGGAGCTGCTGCTGCTGCTGACGCAAACAGGAAGATGCAACTGCCGTCTCCCCGGCAACCCCATGTAACTACGATATGCTGAGGGGGCATGGTAATCGTTTTTAAACCTCAGATTCTTCCTCTTAGATATTTTTAAAAAGTGGAGTTTGGTAAATTCTTCAGAAATGAACTAACGTAGGGTTTTAAAACATTTGCACAGGACAAGTGCAACAAGTACCATCTGTTCCTAGCATGGAAATGTTCAACCTCCCTGCCACAAAAGTTTTAAAGGAGCAAAAAAGTAAAAAAAAAAAAAACCAACCGAACAGAAAAAAAGCAGTGTAAACCTTAATTCTGCATGGTTCAATACAAAGGGACTGCAGTCACATTTAAAGCCTGGAAGGATCTAGACCTTTTGGTTTCAATTATATTTGAATTTTTAAAATCTGAAGTTCTTTCCATTCCATTGTTGTTATTGTTTAGTCATTAGTCGTGTCTGACTCTTCGTGACCCCATGGACCAGCGCATGCCAGAACCTTCTATCTTCCACTGGCTCCCAGAGTTGGGTCAAATTCATGTTGGTTGCTTCGATGACACTGTCCAACCATCTCGTCCTCTGTCGTCCCCTTCTCCTCTTGCCTTCCCACTTTCCCAACATCAGGGGCTTTTCCAGGGAGTCTTCTCTTCTCATGAGATGGCCAAAGTACTGGAGCCTCAGCTTCAGGATCTGTCCTTCCAGTGAGCACTCCGGTTTGATTTCCGTTACAGTTGATAGGTTTGTTCTCCTTGCAGTCCAGGGGACTCTCAAGAGCCTCCTCCAGCGCCACAATTCAAAAGCATCACTGCCACGTTCTCTTGTAATTTGTTATACACTGGGAAGAGGAAGCCAAGTGCAGCCAGACACGCATTCTAGACTTTAAGAAGGCCAATTTCAGTAAACTTTGGGAATTACTGGCTGTAATTCCATGGGCAAAGATACTGAAAGAGAAGGGAGTTCAGGATGGATGGGAATTTCTTAAAAGGGAGATACTAAAGGCACAATCTAAAACTGTTCCAATAAGAAGGAAAAATGGGAGATGTCCAAAGAAACCAGAATGGTTGACTAAAGAACTTTCAACTGAGCTAAGTGTTAAAAAAACATGTATAAGAAATGGAAAAATGGAGAAAACACCAAAGTAGAATACAAGCAAGTAGCCAATAAATGTAGGGGGAAGGTAAGAGAAGCAAAAGATGACACCCAGGTCTATCTCTCCTTCCACCCTTCTGCAGTGGATGTGGCCCCATTCCTTGAGCACTGCCTAGATGCTGTATTGGGGTGGATGAAGGATAACAGATTGAGTCTGATCCCGGACAAGATAGAAATCCTGTGGGTGGAGGCCCCTAGTGTCTGTGGTTTGGGAGCCTCCCTTTCCTTTGGTGGGGTCTCTCTTACTACAAAGGATGAGATGCACAGTTTGTTTTTAAAATATTTTTTATTTTATTTTAACTAAAACATAAACATAAAATACACAAACCAAAATGCAATTTAACTGTGTTCCCCACCACCGTAGATGGAACCTCTTGCAATAATCTTCTTCTTCTTCCATCTATATCCTTCCTCTTCTTTTATTGTTCTCTTCTCCAGAAATGCATTGATTCTTGATTTGGAGCTTTCCCCTTTCCTCTTGTTAGTACATCTTCCAAGAATCTGTCCCAGATTTCATAAAAAATATTCTTTTTCAACTCTCCTTTCCTAAACTTTAGATTACAAGTTAATTTATCATTTATAGCTATATTCCATATTTCATTATACCATTCATCCATTTGAAATTCGGATTTTGATTTCCATTGCCTAGCTATTATTAATCTCGCTACTGTTAATAAATTAGTTATCAATACTTTAAGCATCATATTCCACATTCTCAAATATTGATAAGAAAGCAATCTCAGGATTCAATTCTATGTCTTTTTCACATATATCATTTAATTCTTTAAAAATTTGTTTCCAAAATCTGTGTACTTTTTCACATTCCCACCACATACGAAAATATGTACCAATTTCCTTCTCACATTTCCAACAGACATTCAGATAACTAGCATTAATTTTATTTAATTTTGTTTGTTGTAAATACCATCTTAGACACAGTTTAAATTTTTCCCCTTATTCTCACTGACATAAATCTTAAAACCCTCATATTCTACATCTTCCTCCATTCTTCCTCGTTTATCCTTTTTCCAAAGTCTTGTTCCCACACTAGCTTCACCCCTTCTTTATCGCTTTCTTTTTCTTCTAGATCGAGCAGGAATCTGTAAATTTTACTCACTGTTTCCCTTTACTGAATCATTCATATTTCTTTCCCCATTTATTAGTCCGTCTTTCTAATTGTATATAATTCAACCATGAGATATTCTTACTCTGAAGAATTGGTTTCATTTGCGCTATTGATCTCATTTCATACAACCAATCTTTCAATCTAATCACTTTTTTCTTTAAATAATTCCACATACACTTTCATATTGACAGGAAAATTATCTATTTCTGTCACTAATCCAAATGGAGAGTTAGATGAGCATAAATTCTTTCAATATTTATACCATATGTTTAACATTGTCTTATATGCGCAGTTTGGGCATACTCCTGGACCCAGCACTATCAATGGAATCCCAGATAGTGTCTGTGGTCTGCACCACCTATTTTCATCTAAGGCAAATCGCTCAGCTGCATCCCTACCTTGACACAGGGTCCCTCATCACACTGGCCCATGCACTGGTAGTCTCGAGATTAGACTACTGTAATGGTCCCTATGTGGGGCTGCCCTTGGGGCTATCATGGAGACTCCAGTGGGTCCAGAACTTGGCCGCCAGATTTTTAAGCGGGGTGAGGAGACATTCGCGTATTTCCCCCACCTTGGCTGCCCTGCACTGGTTATCCGTTTCTGTGCCAGCTTCAAGGTAATAGTGTTAACATGCAAGTCCCTAAATGGTTTGGGACCTCATTATTTGACAGAATACCTCCTTCTGACTAGATCAGCCCATCCAGTAAGATCCTCCCAGGCCAGGCTATTGAGGGTTCTGACCCCAAGAGAGAGCCATAAATCAATGGCTAGAGAACCAGGTCTTCTCAGTGGTAGCTCCACAATTGTGGAATGCTCTCCTGCCCAAAATTTACTTGGCATCCTCAGTGGGAACTTTGAAAAAAAAAAAACTAAAAACATTCCTTTTTAAACAGGCCTTCTTGGACTCTATTCCACCTTGATCCAAGTTACAATTCAACCCCACCATCTTTCCCTTTTTATGTTAATGTTTATCAATATTATTTTTAGTTGTTTCAATTGTATAGATGAATTTATACATTATTTTGTTATCATACTGTCTGTTTTATTGTTCTGTGTGAACTGCCCAGAGTGGCCTGGGTTGCCAGATGGGCAGTATACAAATCAAATCAAATCAATCAGTCAATCAATAAACTCATTTTCCATTCTGTTTCAGGAGCACACTGCTCTAAAACCTTTTTTTGTGGTTGAAAATATCTAAATATTGCTAAAACAACATCTAAATTTGTGTGAAAAACTTTAGAAAGCAATATTGGAAGATGTTTCATAATGCAAAGCTTCCCTTGCTAATTCTTTGGTTTCAAAGTGTGTGAGGAGATGTGTTTTGTGGTACTTGTTTTTCAACATCTCACAGGTGCCAAAGACTCCTGCGTGAGAACCAATCTATTGTTTTGTCTTCCTGGGGAGAACGCATCAAAGCTGTATCTCAAGAGTCATGAACACTGAATTCTATCCTAATTGTTTACCAGCCTGGGAATAGGAGATTGGACTTTGGAAAGTTACAAGTTTGGCGTGGACTTTCAAATGAAGGACTTTATGCTGATTAGATACCATCACGATACAGAGACTGATTTAAGTTATAAAAAGGGGAGCTAGGTGTGTGTGTGAGTTGGAGAAGGAGGAGGAGGGAATGACAGGTTCTTCTTCGTGGTCTCTGTGAATGCACACTATAGGGTTTGATCTGCGCTTGTGCAGAGGTTTCCAGAATATTCTAGAGCTTTATCATGTGTTCACCAGGACCGCCCCCCACACACAGTATACATGGTCCACCCATCCTGGTGATTACCTCAGTTCCTTTTTGCTGCTGCTGAGGTTTCATCTCTTGACAAGCTCTCTGTTCACCTTGCTTTTGATTCGTTTACTAAAACAGATACAGAGAGAAAAATTACTAAGAAACTTTTTGAACTGTTTCCCCTCTCCCAACCACCCCTTTCCCCCCTTCCTGCCATTTTATGGCCCCCTGTCATGAGTGCAGCCAAAGATCTGGAACCTGAAGGGTTAACTGTAGCTGAGGAGAATGCTGAGCACTCAGAAATACAAACACCTGAATCGCCTCCAGAATCTCCTCCCCCAGTAGACAGGCTTCGGGCCAGGCTTTGGGGAAGACTTATGACAAAAAGGTCAGAGGATCACTTGAAGGCTGCCCGCAGAAACATCTGATCAACTAGCCCTGAGTTCTGACAGGATGAAAAGGCTTCCAGCAGTTCAAGGGCTGTTTTTACTATATAAACAGCTCTGAGATGGCTGAAAATCTGTGGAAGCAACAAGTCAAATCTCTGGCTTGCATCCACGCTCCTGACAGCCTTGAACCTTGTTCGCTGAACCCTTGGCTTTGGACTCTGACCCTGGACTATGTTGTGTGAGTTGGCTTTGGTATTTGGATATTGCCTCTGCATTCCCTGAATTCTTGACATAGGACTGGTTTATCAGACTCTGCTGTTGTAACCCCCGGGAACGTGACCCCCCCACAGGGCCTTTCAAGCAGTTCACCTCGTGCCCTAATAAAATCCCCCTTTCTGATGGACACGACTTGTGTCTCTTTTGCCTTGAGGAATCACATCAACCCTCATCTTGCCAGGCCTGCAGAAATCTCACGAAACAGGCTTTCAAACCTAGACAACAGCACCTCAGATCTTTTGTTTGGGAACGTTCCCTCTGACCATTACCATCTTCGATGGAGGCCACACCAATTCCCCAGCCTCTTGGCACGGCCTCTGCAGAAATGCCTTCCACCTCTCCGATATCATAATTGACTCTATCAAAACCTAAATCCAAGTTGACCTCGAAATCCAAGAGCTCAGGATCAACATTGAAATCTGCACCAACCTCAAAATCACCCTCAACATCCAACTATTCTAAATAAATCAAGAAAAAGAAGATATCTTCTTTGGACTCCCCCCCCCCATCAAATCTAAGCTTCTGTTCAGCACCCAACAAAGATACTTCCTCATTTCCCATCCAGGATGTCTTGATTCTCCTTCTGCAGATTGTTTGTCTTGATTCTCTTTCTGTGGACGATGACTCCATCCCTCCACCCTCTGGCCATCCATCATCTCCTCTACTTACCCAGTCACTAGACTTGGGTAATACTTTGGCTGAAGTGAGAATGAACACACAATTCGAGCCCCAAATCTGTGGGTTGCTCTGTCTCTGCTTTCAAATCGGATTTAGCATCTGTCTTAGCTGATCCACTGCCCCTAACCAAATGATCTCATGAATGCTCACATGAATGCTTCTCATAGGAGTACTAGGTTGACCCTGAGTTTTAGCAGGATGAAGTGTTTAGATGGCTGCTGCTGCTATAAAATCTTCACCCAGAGGCTTAGAAGCTTGTGGAAGCAACAAGTCAACACTCTGGCTTGCATCTATGCTCCTGCTTATCTTGGACCTTGTTTTCTGGACCCTAGGCTTTGGACTCTGACTATGGTTTGTGTTTTGGCTTTGGCATTTTTGTATCTGCTTTGCATCTTCTGGACTTCTGATATTGGACTGGCTTATTGAACGTTTGCCTGTTGAAACCCCCTGGGAATGTGACAAACAGTAGCCCTTGCCAGGAATCCACAACTGTGATGCTAGCCATGAATAAAGGTTTGGCTGGTTCACAGTTACTGGAACATCATGTTCTGAAAAGTTGATCAAGCTTGACTGTGCCAAAAGCAGTCCTAAACTGCCATCTGATTGCACCATGAACTACATTTATTGCATTGTGTGAATAAATTGATTATGTAGTTGATTTGTAGATTGAGGGCCTTGTTGGGTAAAATGTAGCCCATATTTGCAGAGGCAAGTACTTAAGGTGTTTTGAAAGTTGGCCTGCTGAAGCAATAAAAAGTCCTGGGTCACCTTAAAAATTAACATTTTTACTGAGAGAAAAGCTTTTCTTGGGAGGTAATCCATTTTTGAAGGGGCAGGCAGATGGGAGCAAAGTAGATAAAGATGTCATTTTGCAAAATGCTTTTGCTTTCTTGTTCTTCAAGGTTCGAATATGGGAAATACCAGATGCAGGCTTGAAGCACAACATGACAGAGGCTGTCCTGGAGCTGTATGGACACAGCCGGCGTGTTGGCCTTGTAGAGTGGCACCCAACCACCGCCAATATCCTATTCAGTGCAGGATATGACTATAAGGTGAGCTGGGCAAAATCTTTCTCACACATTCCTTGAAAATCCTTAGGAGTGATGGAATTGGGACACTTGTGTGCTTCACTGCAGGGCTAAAGAGTGATGGGTATCTGCACTATAAACACAACACTGGCTTAATGCAGTTTCCTTGGAAGTAGTACTTATGAGACAGAAAGGAGGAGGTGCTGAGATCATGCAACAAATAATTATCTGTTGTTCATCAAATTACAGATTGATTCTTGGATGAAAATGGTGAACATAACAATCTAAATAAACATAAAATGGGTGTATGGTGAACAGAAATGCCATAGCTCTGTTGCAGAGTCTATCTGCATGTGGAAGATCCCAGGTTCAATCCCAGACAACTCCAGTTAAGGTTGGCAAAGATTCCCACTTGCAATCCAAAACAGTCACTGCCAGTCTGTACAGGCAAGTCTGAATTAGACTGACCAATAGTGTGATCCAGTTTTCTTAATGCCTAACTATGTTTGTTTCAGTTATGGAGGTTCAGTCACTAACTGGAAAGCACCCCTTCTTCTCACAGAACATTTACTTTCCTCCCACTGCCATGGACAAGGACTATGCCCTAGTGCAGACCTGGGCAAAGTGCGGCCCGAGGGCCACATACGGCCAACGAGCCGCTCCTGTCCGGCCCGCCGGTCATTGCTTCAGTCCAGTGTTCAAGCACTTGTTCAAGCCCAAAACAGACTGGATTTCTCTCACTGAACAAGTTGAACATCAAAACCATTTATAGCTTTTTGTCTAAAGTTGATCAGTTGCTTATCTTTAACATACCACAAAAAACCTCTTTAGTATTTGTGAAGATTAACAAGTTTAAAATAAAAACAATCATAACATCACTGTTTCCTTTTATTTTTAAGTAAAGTTGGTTCACCCCCCGAACACAGTTCAGATTTTTCATGTGGCCTCCCTATAGAAATTAATTGCCCACCCCTGCCCTAATGCTGCAATCCCTTATTCACACCCTGATTGCCATTTTAGGATGTTGGTGCTGCTCTGTGGGAATCCCTTTTACTTATCGTGGAGCTTGTCTTGGTTTCTTTGACATACCTGCTCTCTGCTTTGACATCACTATTGCCTATGAGTTAATATTAGAATGGGGGAAAGTGGAATGAATGATGATGGTAGAGGGGAGGTATCTCAGCCTGCAAACCTTGACTCTTGGACGCAGTCTCTTTGCTTCCAATACTGATGTGGTAGTTTGCAGGTGGAAAAATGTTTGGCTTGAACTCTGCTGTACTACAGCAGATAGAGCTGCAGATGAACTTGGCTAAGTGGTCAGTCTGGTCCCATCAACTCTGGTCTCACATCTTAATAGCAATGAGGTCACAATCTCAGACTTAGAAGATGATAACACATTTCCCTTCTAGTAATGCTATTCTTTCAGAGCTGTGCACCAAGCAATCAGAATGGCAAATACAGTTCTCTCTCTCTCTCTCTCTCTCTCACTCACTCTCTCATCTCACACAC